TGAGTTGCCTTACTGACATAAATGAACATTTGCACGATATTCTAATTCTTCGAGTTTCACCTGTATATTTCTTTGTCAGAAACCATTATTTATTTATTTTTAATTGTATGTGATTATTATAAGTAATACATTGTCCCTGGAACACAAGTGCAGTCTGTTCCCTATCTGGAAGAACTGAAGTCATATTGTGTTCCAAACTTCCTAGAATCTTTCTACTGCTATTCAGGTTGTGGAGGAGACATTTCAATCCTACTATACATTCCCCAAATGCTCTGTGGATTTGTAAGAATCTGTTGTACTGGGTGGGAGCCCAGTCACTGGATATGTTCAAACTAAGGCTGGGCAGTCATTTGTCAGGGATATTTTAAATTGGATTTCTGCACTTATTAACTTAAATGTCCAACTCCATGATTTTACAATGAGCATACTAATACTGAGCAAATCTCCTAGCTATGTTGATAATTGTTTAGATGAAGCCTGGCTGATATGTGTTTTATTTTTTATACTATATATTTCATATATTTTATTGTAAGCTGCCTAGTCATGTACGTGAGATGAGTGGTTGTATAACTCAAATAGATAATAACAATCATTATCTCTTTGGACATTGCCCACTGACTGTAATTTATCTATTAAGATGTGCTTGGAATTTAATAAGAAATAATACTATAGCCATAAATTAAATAGATTTGTTTTAAAGTTATGTATTTAAAATGCATTTTTGACAATTAAGCAATTGTATCTTTCACAAACCCTCAATTTTATTCTTTACAATTTTTAAAAAATCCATTAGTTTTTTTTTTTTAAATAACTCATCTTATTTTGAGCTTTAAGTTTTTCATACCTATGTTTTAATTAATTGGGTTTTTTTTTTGTTCAGATATTATTTGTCACTGCACCTGACAAAAATGTACACATTTTAATTAAAGCTACCCAAATCTATTTGCATAAGATTCACACTGGAATTTGCCAAAATGCTTAACTATAAGTAAACTAATAATGATTAAATCTATAGTTTGCCAGTGGAATTTAACTAATTAATATTTGTGTACAGATAATGAGAATCTAAAACTTACAATTCTTTTATCTCCACATACAGCAAATAATGACTTACAGTGCACTTAATTATTTGCCATTATAATAATTAGTAATACTAGTATTAGTAATGTAATATAATGTATTTATAGACCAATTCCCAACTTACAGAAAATCAAAGCACAGTACAACTTAGGTTAAGAAAAATATCACCCAATAATATATAAGCATTGGAAATGAATTAAGATTATAACACTAAACCTACTAATCAAACATTTAATGTTTGAACATGTACAGAAATAGGGTATAATAAAATTAAGCAACTTTCATTGTAATGATTGAGGATTGATCTGATAGTAGATGGTTTAAATAGTCATTCTGCAATTTAATTTACATTTGATTGGGAAAGGTATTAGTAGCTAAATAGGTAAGCAAGTTATCAAAGGAAAATTATTATCAAAATTATATTACTCAGCTATTTAGCTATTCAATACCATAATATAATCATTATTACCATGCCTCTTCTCTTTTAATCCTCATCCACTATCCAATTCAGAGTTAGAAAACCTAGCCTGTTGTACTGGGTAGGAACCCAGAGTTGAGCCAACCGCCATTTCCCAAAGTTGATGTCCTATTCTTTAAATCAATGATGGCTACCTGTCACACTTACAAATAAGAGGCTGTAAAATGGTTACATAACACTCCATTATTTGAACCTAATCTACAATTAAAATCACTTGCTAAAACACAGGAGCAGCACTGGAATATTTTAATTGAAGCTCTACTATATACACTTCCAACTTATTTACTTGATACAGTCATTGTTGTGGAGCAAGGAAAGTATTAAGGTCTAAGTACCTATACCTGTAGCACCTACCTATATAGGTGTCAAAATATAGTTATTGTCAATGGGTTGCAGGTGATACTATCTGTACTTAAAGCTGGATGGTTCTTCATTATCAGAATAACAAGACCTCCT